AACAGAGTTAGAGAAAACTACAAAAGTCACTCTATTTAGCCATCCATTGGTACTCTAATCCTTTCTATGATAAGCAGCTACTGTTGAACACCTCTAGGCATGGGGAACTCACTATTATCTGATCACTTTCTTTGGTCTTAGCCAACCCTCATTAAACTTTTCTACATTGGCCCCAAGTTTCCATGTAGCTTTCACCCATCTGTCTTCTTTCTCTCACTTGGCCTGAAAAATCAGTCTAAATCCTTTTCTACTTGATATACACACAAATAGTAAAGGACAGCTATCATAACCCTATGAATCTCATCCTTCTTCAAGCTAAATATTCTATTACTTTTTTTTTTTTTTTGAGATGGAGTATCACTCTGTTGCCCAGGCTGGAGTATAGAGGTGCTATCTTAGCTCGCTGCAACCTCCCTGTCCCAGGCCCAAACGATTCTCCTGCCTCAGACTCCTGAGTTGCTGAAACTGCAGCCATGCACCACCACACCCAGCTAACTTTTATATTTTTAGTAGAGATGGGGTTTCACCATGTTAGTCAGGCTGGTCTCAAACTCTAGGCCTCAAGGGATCCAACCGCCTTGGCCTCCCAAAGTGCTGGCATTACAGGTGTGAGCCACCATGCCCAGCCATTACCTTTAAAAAAAAAAAAAGTGCTGTAGAGGTTATAACTTCACAATGATTTATTTGATTTAATATATTTTAAAACTATATTTTTTGGTCTGGAAGAATTCAAAAACTTATTTAAATATTTTTAAATGTTTTTTCACATTTGCTAATTCCAAAACTCTACAAAAAGGAGCTAAATCGACTTTTCATCATTTTCAAAATTATTTTGTATCTTTAATTTAAAGAATATATAAAATCATTTTTCTTTTTTTATAGAGACGGGGACCTCACTGTGTTGCTGAAGCTGGTCTCGAACTCCTGGGCTCAAGCCATCCTCCTGCCTTGGCCCCCCAAAGTGCTGGGATTATAGGTGTGAGCCACTGCTCCCATCATTTTCATGATGAAAATGAAGGCTGTAACCATTATACTAGAAGGAAAAAATAAGAGAAAACAGAAATTAAGGTGTACAAAAGAGGAAAACCTCTCCTAATTCATAAACTAAATAGCCAACTGATAAGTAATCTGATTTGACAATAATGCTGTAACTCACATGCAACTCCCTGGGTTCCCAAATCAGATTTGGAGTTGTAATTACCAGTAATGAAATATATAGGCGGCCCCAAAATCTCATTTTACCAGTCATTCCTACTTGCTCACAATCAGTTGTCTCACAGGGTCGATGGAAGAATCAAATTTAAAAGCATATGGGAGTATTTTGTGAACAAAAGTACATATTAAGGGGCTTATGGTTTCTCATGATAAATACTACTCAGATACAATTAGCATTTCCTAAGCATCTGTGAACCAGTGCTTATGCTCACCACCTTTCTATGTGTTTTCTCACTTATCTTGTGAGCTAATGATTTTTGACAAGAGGACACAGACTGAGAGTGATTGGCGTAGGTCTCACAGCCAGGAAGAACTGATTGCTTTTTTCACCTCCTGTGACTATTCTAATTAAGATGATATATTTGATGAGTGTTATCATTGATGTTCTGAATTGATAATAAAGATTTTTTGGCCACGCATGGTGACTCATGCCTGTAATCCCAACACTTTGCGAGGCTGAGGTGGGTGGATCACTTGGGGTCAGGAGTTTGAGACCAGCCTGGCCAACATGGCAAAACCCCATCTCTACTTAAAATACAAAAATTAGCCAGGTGTGGTGGTGCATGCCTATAGTCTCAGACTCTCAAGAAGCTGAGGCAGGAAAATCTCTTGAACCTGGGTGGCAGGGGTTGCAGTGATCTGAGATGGCACCATTGCACTCCAGCCTGCGGGACAGAGCAAGACTCCATCATAGGTAGGTAGGTAGGGAGATGATAGATAGATATAGGCAGTTAGATAGATAGATGGATAGATAGATAGGGAGATGATAGATATAGACAGATAGATAGATAGACAGACAGACAGACAGATAGATAGATAGATTTCTCACAATATAGCACCTCTCAGCACTTTCCCACATATTAGTATCAGTTGTTAATACAAATTTGTTAATAATGACCAAGCCATGGAAAAGCACACAGAATAGGGAGTGGGCTGCCATTTTTTCGCTGGCTGCCTCTCCCTGCCTGCCCTCTGGTGGAGCGAGAGGGACAAAGAACAAAACAGACCCAGGCACTCAGAAGTGCATTAGTATTAGCACCGGCGTGGACCCACACTCCCCTTCTGCCTCCCAGGGTCCCACGCACATTCCTCGGGCTACAGCAGCTGGATTTCCCACCCTGCATGAAGGAGCCATGCCTGTCCAAGCCACTGTGACTGTAGCTGCTTTTCCTTCTCCCTCAAATGACCCTTCCCTTTCTCACCTAGCAAAATCCTGGTCCTTCTTCAAGACCCAGCTCAGATGGCAGCCTATCCATGACACTAAGCCCGCATTCCCCATGCAGCAGCCCTCCCTGCTGTTTCATTTTGTGCATTTTTGTCTGTGCTTTATCGTAGCACTGCAGTCCTATGGAAACCTTCATGTCTCCTCTCCAGGACTTATTTTTAGCACTCTGCCTGAGACATAGAAGATGCTTAATCATTGTTGGTTGCTTAGGCCGGACTCACCTCACACCTGTAATCTCAGCACTTTGGGAGGCTGAGGTGGGAGGATTGCTGGAAGCTAGGAGTTCAAGAACAACCTAGGCAACAAAGCAAGGCCCCATCTCTACAAAAAAAAAAAAAAAAATTAACTGGGCATGGTGGTGCACACCTGTAGTCTTAGCTACTAGGAAGGATCTTAGCTACAGGAGGATCATTTGAGCCCAGGATGTTGAGGCTGCAGTGAGCCTTGATCATGCCTCTGTACTGCAGTCTAGGTAACAGAGTCCTGTCTCAAATAATTATCATTATTGGTTGCATGAATGATTGATTAAATCCTGAATTGGGAGAATCAAATAAAGAATATGGAAGTGCTTTTAAAGTAAAGTCCAAATTGCTCATGATAATATTTAGATTCAAGAATATTCCCACCAAGAGGCTCCTGGAAACACTATGAAGTAGGTTAAAGTGTCTTCCACCTCTCTCTATCCTTTGTTTCAGCACCTCTTCCACTGTCTCTCCCAAGATAGATGCCAACATCCTCTGACTGCCCTTCAGCAACCCCAGATCCTCCTGGGCTCCCAAGTCACCAGCTTCCCCCACCCAAGTCAGATGTCTTCATCCCCTCTGCCTTTCCCGGGACAGCAATAGGCAACAATCTTGTGCCTGCTTCTGCTAGTGGGCTTAGGTTGAAATTACACACAGCAGCAGAAAATGTAACTTTATATTCTATAACTGAACTATTTTGCTCTTCAGCCCTTCCTCCTAAGCTACCTCAATGGGTAATTCAGTCTTATCTGGCTAAAACAGTCTCTTGGGGCATATTGTCATGATTACCTCAGGGGTTACCTTTAGCCAATTATGGATCCTGCTCCCTCCTGCCCTTCTCTCCAAAGGGACCTAAGTTTTCAGGATCAGACTACCATCCTGGCATTGCGATGGGGGTGGGGAGACTCATTCGTGGCCCTGGTATGGGCCTCTCTGTTCCGCAGGTGTCCTGCACTGGTACACCCCAGGGATGCAGCTGGTCTCACCATTGTCTGCTGGCCCAGCCATCATCTCTACTCAGGAAGTCAGGACGTTGTGGCCTTGTGTTCTCAACCCCAGGCTCACTCCAGCCCACTGTTTCTCTGATTTCCCACAGGCAGACGGGACTCTGGATGCCTAGGGGCTAGGCAGATGTGGGCTGTGGGGACTTCGGTCCATTGACTCTGAAACCCCCTGGCCATTTCTCTCCTATCTCCCAGGCACCAACAGAGAGCAGAACTTCTCTAAAGGACTTGGACCTTTCCTGGTTTCTCACAAGAAGAGAAAACCCTTTTCCATCTGGAATTCCCTGTAACTGATCTGATGTTTCTACCATCCCTAGGTTACCTATCCCCCACAACACACCCAAGATTCAGTCCAGAGCAGGAAGAAAACGTAGACACTCTCATCTGGCCTCCGCCTTCCCCCCCCTCTCTAGCTCCTTCATACATTGGAAGGCTTTCCCAGTTTCCATCCCATCTGGCAGGAGCCACCCTACTGTCAAATCCTTCTCCGTCCCTTGCATGTTTTTACTTTTTTTCCCCGCTCTGGAACAATATTTCTCTGCCTCGTGGCCTAGTGTGCACAGGGAAAGAGATGCTGGAGAAACATTCCCAAATATACACAGAGGAAATAGTCCCCAAAATGCTCTCCTGCCATAACTGGTTCCGGTGCATCACTTCCTGGAAGATGCAACAACATATTCCACATAAAGTTAAGCTCCCTAAGAGATGAGGTGGCTTTGGAGGGTTCTGGACACCAGACTAGAAGAGTAGGAGAAATAACTTGAGTTCTCTGACTCTCAGACCCCACCTCAAAAGAAACTGCCTGCTTGCCTATGGGAATGTGGGGTGTATGGTGTGAACATTAAGCAGTGACCCACTGGGAAAGCAAAGAAATGGACAGTCTAGGGGGAAAGAGGCCGACTTCTCTTTGGGTTTGTGGAATTTGGTTCTGCTGTACTGTAAATATACAGCTCAGCTGCTCACCCAAGCCTTCAAAGCAAGGTTCCCACGCAGCCTTCCATGAAGTTTGTATCACACTTTTTGGCAAAAGATCCAGCCACGAAATGGATGGTTTTATAAACCAAAAATTGAATATTGGCAATTACACAAGTAGCCCAGACTCAGCCACGTTCCGTCTGTGTCCTTCAGCTACACAGACCCCCTCTTTTCTCACTGCCTCCTGGGCAATGTGGATCAGCTGGAGAGTGTGATCTGCGCTCAAGGAGTGCCTTCCTGGGGTTTTCGCTTTCAGAGCCCTGGTGTTAAAAAGACATTCTGTGAGTGGGTGGGCCCGGGCGCCCCAGTCACGGTGGCCGCCGCCTCCTCTCCCCACAGGACGGGACAGCGCCCCTGTGGATCGCGTCCCAGATGGGCCACAGCGAGGTGGTGCGGGTGATGCTGCTGCGCGGAGCCGACCGTGACGCTGCGCGGAACGTGAGTGCCCGGGGCGCGCGGCCACGGAGCAAAGCCGCCCAGCACGCCTGTGCGGCGTAAACGGGTCTTGACTGAGCCTGCAGACCACAAGCGCTTCCTCCCAAACTCTGCCTGCTCTTGAGCAGGAAAACAAAGTGAAGGTCCAATTCGGTGCTGCTCGGTCTCTCTCCTCCTCCTCCCGAGACGACCTTGGGACGCACTAGAGCGGGTGGAATCTTAGCCTCTAGCCTGGGGATGGTAGAGACGGGGCCTCCAGGCTGTCCTGGGGGCTGGGGTAGGGGGAGCCCCAAGCTGGTGCCGCGCCTCCTGCAGGCCTTGCCTTTCATTCCTGCTTCCTGGAGCTGCAGACCCCCCTGCACCCCGTCCCCTGCGGGCCCTCTGTCTCCACTGGCCTCTGCTGGTGTCACCTAATACTGCCTCGGTGTGCCCCACAGCAAACCCTTTCACCATAAGGAAGGCTTGAAGAGAGCCTGACCACCTAAGCTATTTGCTTTTTGTGTTTTTACTGTGGCCTGGTTGCCTTTGTATAACCCTTGCTTACGTAACCCACCCTCCCCTCTCCAAGTCTAAGCTCCAAAAAAGGGAAATCGCCAGACGCGTTTTCCACCACTTCACTGCCCTCTCTCCCACTCTTCACACAATCCCTGAAGCCAGAAAAGAACCACTACCCCAACGCCAATTCCGTGTTCCTTCTTTCTGATTACACATAAACCCTAATGGCAGGCCATAGTAGTTCCTTGGCTACGGGAGAATTGTGAACTAGATCCTCCAAACACAGCGATTAATAATTGAAAACAGCAGAAAAAGTAATTTGGAAAGCGTCTTCTTGAGCCAAAAAATAATGACAGAGGCTAAATATTAATTTTTGAATTTGACTTCATTTTTAGCAGATTTTATTTTTTTCTGAGAGTATCACTCTGTCACCCAAGCTGGAGTGCAGTGGCATGATCTCAGTTCATTGTAACTTCTGCCTTCTGGGTTCAAGTGATTCTCATGCCTCAGCCTCCGGGGTAGCTGGAACTACAGGCACGGGCCACCACGCTTGGCTACTGTATTTTTGGCAGTGATGGGGTTTCACCATATTGGCTAGGCTGGTCTAGAACTCCTGACCTCAAGTGATCCTCCTACCTTGGTCTTACAAAGTGCCAGAATTACAGGTGCGAACCACTGCACGTGGCCTTTTAGCAGATTTTAATCTATCACCCCTGTCCCTAACCCCCACTACCCACACACAGGCAGCTACCTAGACCAGACTAGGGCAAGTTTGTATAATTTATTTAAAAAAAACAGTAAATACAGTTCAACAATTATTTAAATTATTAAAGACAGCCATTTCTGCTAAATCGTGAACAGCAGAGAATGCCTCTGGTCCATCCATGGCCTAAAAATATGATCTTGAAATTCCCCTGTCCCCTGCTCAGTGTTCTCAGGAACTATATGAGTATGAATTCCCAAATGGCAGAGTTCTAACATAATCTAAGTCATGGTTTATCTGATACTCTTTCATGCAGAATTAACTGCTTAATATGCTCTAAAATGCTCCCAGATTAAGAGACATTGCTGATCTGTGCTTCATTTTTACACATTTCATTAGTTTCTGACAACAGTACTTCCACTTCTCAACTGACATTTAGCTCTCAGGCTACACAGACATATGTTAATAATCAACTTTTATTTTCCTTTCTGTTTAAGGATGGCACAACAGCATTATTGAAAGCAGCCAACAAAGGGTATAATGATGTCATAAAGGAGTTGCTTAAATTCTCACCCACTCTTGGTATTTTGAAGGTAAGACCTAAAGAGAAATTTTACTAATCTGTAAGAGAGAGGTTAGAAAGTAAATCTGCACTTGGGGACTACGTTGAGTTTAGGTACAGTTAGCCTGGTTAGTTGGATTCTTGAAGGAACACACCTGCAGCTTCTTGATGCTGGTGATCCCAGGGTCATTGGTAGAAATGGGAAGGTGGTAGAAAGAATGAACCATAGTCTGTCACTACCTAGTTTTCCAGAAAAAAAAAATTGACAGTAGTAATGAAATAGCTACATTGGAAAGTATACCATATTGACACTATTTGGAGGATTTGTGAAATCAAGGAAGAACAGACACTTAGGTTCATTCTCTTTATTTTCTTGAATAAAGAATCACTCTGCTTTGTTCCTTTAAATGAAATAAAAATAAGCCTCAAACACCTGGAAGCCTCAGAAAATATGTCAGTATGGAGACATGAGTCTCCTAAAAAATAGAGCCAAAACTCTTTTTTAAGTTTTAATTTTTTTGTTGTGTTTTGTTTTGCTTTTTGAGACAGTCTCCCTTTGTAGCCCAGGCTGTAGTGCAATCACACCATCTCAGCTCACTGCAACCTCTGCCTCCCAAGTTCAAGTGATTCTCCTGCCTCAGCCTCTTAAGTAGCTGGGATTACAGATGCGCCACCACCACCTGGCTAATTTTTGTATTTTTAGTAGAGACAAGGTTTCACCATCTTGGCAAGGCTGGTCTTGAACTCCCGACCTCAAGTGATCCACTTGCCTCGGCCTCCCAAAGTGCTGGGATTACTGGCATGAGCCACCACACCTGGCCTAAATTTTGATCATTTTTGATTAAAATATTTCTAACCTATAGTATAGATCAGGAGTCAGCAAACTTTTTCTGTAAAGGCTTAGTAAATATTAGTATTTCTATTTACTAATATAATATTTATTATATTATTGATTATATTCATTGTATTATTATATTGTTAATAGTAATGCTTACTAATATTTTAGTAAATATTACTAAATAGTAAACATTAATAAATATTACCAATATACTTACAGTAAATATATTTATTTATATTGATATTTACTATAGCAAATATATACTAGAGAATATATTTACTAAATCTATAGTACAAATTTAAATTTTTTCAGAGACAGAGTTTCAACTCTGTTGCCCAAGCTTGAGTATAATGATGCAATCCAAGCTTACAGTAATCTTGAACTCCTGGGCTCAAGTAATCCTCCTGCCTCAGCTGGGACTACGACCACATACACTGGACCCATCTAATTTTTAAATTTGTTGTAGAGATAGGGTCTTACTATATTGTCCAAGCTGGTCTCTAACTTCTGGCCTTAAGCAATCTTCCTGCCTTGACCAGAGATAGGAGAATTAGTATATGGTATGTATTTACTATATATAGTAAATATGTACTATATAATATATAGCATATACTATATAACTGTATACTATATATAGTAAATATTTACTGTCTAGTAATATTTGCTGAACTATTAGTAACTATTACTGTTACCAGATAGCAAATATTTTAGGCTTTGTGGGCCATACAAGTCTCTCCCTTACATTCTGCTGTAGTAATCCAAAAGTAAACATATAAAATACAACAAAAAGGCCCAGTGTGGTGGCTCACACCTGTAATCCCGGCACTTTGGGATGCTGAGGCAGGGAGTTCACTTGAATCCAAGAGTTCCAAACCAGCCTGGGCAACATAGCAAGACTCCATCTCTAAAAAAATTTTTTTTTTAATTAACTGGTCATGCTGACATGCACCTGTAGTCCCAGCTACTTGGAAGGCTGAGGTGGGAGGATCATTTGAGCCTGGGAAATGAAGCCGTGATCAAGCCACTGCACTCCACCCTAGGTGACAAGGAGACTCTGACTAAAAAAAAAATCTTAATTCCTATAAAACTTTATTTATTCATGGACATTGTATTTATGGAATTTCCTATTTTCACATATTACAAAAAGTTTTTTCTTTTAATCTGTTAAAAATCATGTAAAAATGTAAAAACAGCCTGGGTGCAGTGACTTATGCCGATAATCCCAGCACTTTGGGAGGCTGAAGCAGGAGGACTGCTTAAGGCCAGGAGCTAGAGACCAGCCTAAAAAATATAGAAAGACTTTATCTCTACAACACGTTTAAAAATTAGATGGATGCAGTGGTGTGTGGCTTTAGTCCCAGCCAAGGCAGGAGGATTGCTGAAGCCCAGGAGTTCAAGGTTACTATGAGCTATGATTACGTCATTGCACTTCTGTCAGGGCAACAGGGTGAAACCCTACCTCTGCAAAAATTTTTAAAAGTAGAAACTGTTCTTAGCTTGCAGGATTTGATTTGCAGGCTGTTCTAAATTGACACAGTGGCTTAGCTTTGGGGCTGTGCTTTCAGGGTCTATCAATGTATATAAAATCTGTTTGCCCTTGAATGATCCCAGAAGCTTTTTGGATATTTTGTGTCTGCTTTTTATATTTTGAGATTCCATTCTTGCTGACAGTTAATACAGAACTGCTGTTGTCAGGTGTTGGCCTCTCTCCTCTGCCTTCATCAGCTCATGAGCTACTTTCATACTTTCATCTGCCATGAGCTTTTTTTTTTTTTTTTTTTTTGGAGACAGGGTCTCGCTATGTTGCCCAGGCTGGTCTGGACCTTTGAACTCCTGGGCTCAAGTGATTCTCTGATCCTCCTGCCTTGGCCTCCTAAAGTGCTGGGATTACAGGTGTGAGCCACTGCACCTGGCCTGCCATGAACTTTAGAAGCCAGAAAGCTGCGCTTGTTAAAACTGTTTGCAAAGTAAGAGTAAACCATCTATGAAAGTGAATTATATGAATAAAAGGAACAAGCTTTGGAAAGCTTGAACTTTGCAAAATCTAGTCTTGTTTCAAACAGCTCTTTTTTGACTTTTTTAAAACTCCTGGTCGGACATAGTGGTTCACAGCCATGATCCCAGCCGAGGCAGGCGAATCACCTCACGTCAGGAGTTTGAGACCAGCCTGGCCAACATGGTGAAACCCTGTCTCTACTAAAAATACAAAAATTAGCTGGGAGTGGTGACATGCGCCTGTAATCCCAGCAATCAGGAGGCTGAGGCAGTAGAATTGCTTGAGCCCTGGAGGCAGAGGTTGCAATGAGCCGAGATCATGCCATTGCACTCCATCCTAGGCAACAATAGCAAAACTCCATCTCAAAAAAAAAAAAAGCCAGAAAGCTGCACTTGTTAAAATTGTTCGTAAAGTAAGAATAAACTGTCTATGAAAGTAAATAATATAAATAAAAGGAACAAGCTTTAGAAAGCTTGAACTTTGCGAAATCTAGTCTTGTTTCAAACAGCTGTTTTTTGGCTTTTTAAAAACTCCTGGTTGGGCATGGTGGCTCACACCTGTAATCCCAGCACTTTGGGAGGCCTCAGCAGGCAGATCACCCGAGCTCAGGAGTTGGAGACCAGCCTGGGCAACATGGAAAAACCCTGTTTCTACCAAAAATACAAAAATTAGCGGGACACAGTGGTATGCGCCTGTAGTCTCAGCTACTCAGGAGGCTGAGGCAGGAGAATCCCTTGAGCGTTGGAGGTGGAGGTTGCAGTGAGCAGAGATCACGTCATTGCACTCCAGCCTGGAAGACAGACCAAGACCCTGTCTCCAAAAAAAGAAAAAAAAAATTCAACCCGTGTTACATATAGGTGAAGTTGATAGATTGGCTAAGATTTAGACAAGTAAATTGTTACAAGAGTAGTGAATTATACATATTTAAAAGCAACCACAGAAAAATGCTACTGTGCTGGAATTTTTCTCTGGGTATGATATTTTACTCTTTTACAAAATCAGAGTGGTTTTTATTATGAGTAATCAATTAGGAAACTTAAGTTTGCATTTAGGTACTATTTATAGGCATATGTACCCTCTAGAACCAATGTCACATGACTGCCCACTGTTCTTATATTAGTTTTGTTATAGTCTCTTCCCCTCCCCTCCCTGGTCCAGCTACATGCTGGATTTAGCTGCTTCCTTATTTTGATAAATATTTGCAGTAAATGTCATAAAACATTAACAGCTCATCTACAAGACCCTTCTGTGCTCAGACATGCTCCGACTCAAAGCTCTGGGGCATTGCCTCACCCACATACTCTTCCTCTTAAGCCCTGAAGCTCCACAGTCACAGTCTTGCCCGCCTGAGTGGTCAGAGCATCTGTAGCTGTTCTGACAAGTCAGCCCATTGCCTAAGCAGCTATTCCTCCAGCCTTGCTGGAAGTGGCTCAGCAAAACTACAAAGACTGTATGTGTTGTCCTTGAAGAACAAAAATATTTGGCACAGCATTGTTGTTTTTTCTGCAGCAAGTTCCAAAGTATGTAAAACTGACTGAGTGATCATGAAGTCATGTGCCCCCTCAGCCAGATTCCTTATTTCCCTTGTAAGAGAACATCAGCAATTTTTGTACTGACCATCAGTTGTATATCCAAGGACATTATACTAGGGGTTGATATGACTTTGAAAAGTACAAGGCAAGATAAAGAAGCTCAAGGGTCTGAGGTTACAGTCTTATCACCCAAATGGTTTATGATGGAAGCAATACTGAAGCCAATGGTTATGAGTTCAGTCCTGACACACACTGTCATTTTCTCTTAGAATGGGACATCAGCGCTCCATGCGGCAGTGCTCAGCGGAAACATTAAAACAGTTGCGCTGCTCCTAGAAGCAGGGGCAGACCCATCCCTGAGAAACAAGGTATCCACTTAAGCAATCTTTTAACTCCATTGGGCCCCTTGAAGTGTCCTTCTAGGCCAGGAAAGATAAACATCTCCCTGGCTCCAATCACCATCTTCATTCTTTGTATAGTAAGGTCATTCAGGGTTGCTATTAGTAGGTGATTAGTGAGCAGTACAGTTGGACCCAGGAAATATACATATACATTTTTTTATATATATATAAATTTAATATATATATATTTTATATATAAAACATTTATATTTAATATTTATATTTAATATCTATATTTATATAAACAGAAAATATTTATATTTAATATATATATATTTTAGAAACCGTTGTGTTGAGGGCTGACTTTCAGTAGATTGCAGCGAGGGAGCTACTCTGCTGCATATGAAACCCTGACCCAGAAGCAGGTCATCTTCAAATGGTTTAGTGCCAGGTTCCCCATGGACGTGCATTATGTGACAGGTGAGGGGGCTATCAGGTTTTTGGGTTTTTTGTTTTTTGGGTTTTTTTTTTTTTGAGAGGGAGTCTCGCTCAGTTGCCCAGTCTGGGGTATAGTGGCACAATCTCAGCTCACTGCAACCTCCACCTCCCAGGTTCAAGTGATTCTCCTGCCCCTGCCTCCCGAGTAGCTAGGATTATAGGAGTGCACCACCACACCCGGCTAATTTTTTCTGGCCTCCCAAAGTGCTAGGATTACAGGCGTGAGCCACCATGCCCAGCCAGTGGTTTTCAGTTAACAATGGTGCACCCTCCTAGTGGAGGTGGGAAAAAAAGGGAGAGCAGTTACTATGGGACTAAGTATTATTCTATCATCAAAGTCATGCCCTAAAAATGCCAAAATTCTGGTAGTTTATCACCATTCCCATAAGTTCACTGTTCATATCTTGAGAATTGCTTATGCTATGTTTGATTGCTTTTATGTTGTTAACAGGAGTACATGCCACTGTTACAAAATTTTTCTAGTTCTAAATTCTTAATTTACAATTAGGCTAAAACTTGGAGGTGGGAGGGCAGACAATAAAAAAAAAATTTTTTTGAGACAGAGTTTTTTGCTCTTGTTGCCCAGGCTGGAGTACAATGGCATGATCTCGGCTCATCACAACCTCCACCTTCCAGGTTCAAGCAGCTCTCCTGCCTCAGCCTCCCGAGTAGCTGGAATTACCAGCATACACCACAACGTCCAGCTAATTTTGTATTTTAGTAGAGATGGGGTTTCTCCATGTTGGCCAGCCTGGTCTCCAACTCCTGAACTCAGGTGATCTGCCCACCTCAGCCTCCCAAAGTGCTGGGATTACAGGCGTGAGCCACCACACCCAAGCACAATAGGAATTTTTTTAAATGACTGTCATTTCGCTTCCTCCTCTTCAACATCTGCTTAAGCTGGCACATGTATAGATTGTAGCAGAGAAGAGGAGCCTAGGAAAGGTCTTGAGAGAATGCATGGGCCAGGCGCAGAGGCTCACTGCTGTAAACCCAGCACTTTGGGAGCTGAGGCAGGTGGATCACTTGAGCCCAGGAGTTCAAGACCAGCCTGGGCAACATGGCAAAACCCTGTCTCCACAAAAAGTATAAAAATTAGCTGGGTGTGAGGGTGTGTGCCTGTAGTCCCAGCTACTGGGGAGGCTGAGGTGGGAGGATCACTTGAACCCAGCCAAGGAGGTCAAGGATGCAGTGAGCTACAGCCATGCCACTGCACTCTACCCTGGGTGACAGAGTGGAGTGAAAACGCACTAAACTACAAACTTTATTTATTACTTATTTAAATGTGAATTTTTTTACTTTTTATAGAGATGTGGTCTTGCTGTGTTGCCCAGGCTGGTCTTGAACTTCTGAACTCAAACAATCCTCCCACTTTGGCTTCCCAAAGTGCTGGGATTATAGGCATGAGCCACCATACCTGGCCTAAACTACAGATTTTTGAAGGAGGAAGTGGTATTGGTGTTTATGAATAGAGGAGGATATCAAAAGCAACCTTCACTTTATACTCACATACTCTAATTTTTTTTTTTTTTTTTTTTTTTTTTGAGACAGAGTCTCACTCTGTTACCCAGTCTGGAATGCAGTGGTGCGATCTTGGCTCACTGCAACCTCCGCCTCCCAGGTTCAAACTATTCTCCTGCCTCAGCCTCCTGAGTAGCTGGGATTACAGGTGTACACCACCATACCCAACTAATTTTTGTATTTTTAGTAGAGACAAGGTTTTATCATGCTGGTCAGGCTAGTCTCGAACTCCTTACCTCAGGTGATCCAACTGCCTTGGAATCCCAAAGTGCTGGGATTAGAGGCGTGAGCCACTGCACCCAGCCTCATACTCTGAATTTTTCTAAGCACCTGTTACTGTGTTAAAAAAATTTTAATAGTAAAAATAAAAGCATATAACATTTCATGACATTTTGAAAAGAAACCTTAAGAAGTGCCAGTTAAACAACATGCCAAGGGTACTTTTTTCATTTGACTTAGCATGTCCAAGTATCACTTCCTCATTCCCATTGAATGCTTGCCTAGAACATTTCTGCTTATCTCTCCTTAGATACTTAGACTTGTTTTCCATTAGCTGGCCTGGCTGTGTGATAAGCCAGTTGAGAACACAATTGCCTTTCTTTAGATCCTGTCTTTAGACCTTGTGCACCAACTTCCTAAAGAGACCAGTCTTTGAAAAAAAAAAAAAGAGAGAGAGAACCAGTCTTTGTTGGTGAGTTATCTAATACTGAACTAAGGCAAGGAGGAAACATTAATACCTTTACATAGAAACTGAAAAATGCAATTCCCTGTGTGTCTCCTAGAATAATGGAATGACTATCAACAAGAATGGTTATGAGTAATTTCCAGTGGGCAAAATGCTAGACTTTGGACCTTCCTGAATCAAAACAAGTGCAACCACCCAATGGGTTCATCTTACCTGCAGCCTAAACAGAACCTATTTATCAAGACAAGGGACTTGCAATGGAGAAAGAGTAATCCATGCAGAGCCAGCTGTGAGGGAGACAGGAATTTTGAATTTTTTTGTAGATACGGGATTTCACCATATTGGTCAGGCTGGTCTCAAATTCCTGACCTCATGATCCACCTGCCTTGGCCTCCCAAAGTGCTGGAATTACAGACGTGAGTCACCACACCCAGCCACATCCTTTTTTCTTTTTAGAGGCAGAGTCTCACTCTGTCACCCAGGTTGGAGTGCAGTGGTGCCATCATAGCTAACTGTAACCTCAAACTCCCGGGCTTAAGTGATACTCCCACCTCAGCCTACTGAGTAGCTGAACCACCAGACCAAGCCACAAGAACATAGTTCTGATTCCTCTATACAAACAGTTCTCAGCAGTTCTCTTGGATCCCTGAAGATCTTCATGACCCAAACAGGGGTTCTAAGGAATCAAAACAAGGTTGGGCGTAATGGCTCAAGCCTGTAATCCCAACACTTTGGGATTATGGGCAAACCTGGGCAATACAGCAAGACACCATCTCTACAAAAAAATAAAAATAAAAATCTATTTAAATTTTTAAAAAAGAATTCAAAACCATATATATATATTGAGATGGAGTCTTGCTTTGTCACCCAGGCTGGAGTGCAATGCTGCGATCTTGGCTCATTGCAACCTTCGCCTCCCAGGTTCAAGCAATTCTCCTGCCTCAGCCTCCTGAGTAGCCAGGATTACAGGTGCACGCCACCACACCTGGCTAATGTTTGTGTTTTTACTAAAGACAGGGTTTCACCATGCAAAACCATATTCTTGATAATAAAAAGATGTTGGCCATTCGAGGTGGTTCATGCCTGTAATTCCAGCAATTTGGGAGGTTGAGGCAGCAGGATCGCTTGAAGCCAGAAGTTCAAGACCAGCATGGGCAATATAGCAAGACCCCATCTCTTTAAGAAATTAAAAAACAAAAAAATGGTCGGGCATGGTGGTTTGTGCCTATAGTCCTAACTACTAGGGAGGCTGAGGTGGAAAGATCACTTGAGCTCAGGAGTTCAAGGCCACAGTGAGCTACATGGTTGTGCCACTGCATTCCAGTCCTAGCAACAGAGAGAAAACCTGTCTCCTAAAAAAACAAACAAGATATTATCTGCTTTCTTCACTGTGCTGACATTTTCTCTAATGGTACAAAAGGAAAAGCAATGGTGGGTGAAACTGTTGGGGCTTAGTACAGAGCAAAGCAGAGGCACTAAACTGTACTGGCAAAATATTTTACAAGCCTTTGTAAAGTATTTTATAAATTTTGTAAATTATTTTTTAAAGTACCAGTTGTATTTAAGAATGTCTCTGATGAAGCAGTAAAAAAATGTCAGTTTTACTAAATTTTGACTCTTCCTATACATCTTTTTAAAATTCTGTGTGATTGGCTGGGTGGGGTGGCTCACACCTATAATCTCATCACTTTGGGAGGCCGAGGCAGGCAGATCACATGAGGTCAGGGGTTCAAGACCATCCTGGCCAACATGGTGAAACCCTGTCTCTATTAAAAATACAAAAATTAGCCAGCATGTTAACACATGCCTATAATCCCAACTACTCAGGAGGCTGAGGCTGGAGAATTGCTTGAACCCAGGAGGTGGAGGTTGCAGTGAGCTGAGATTGCACCACTGCACTGTAGCCTGGGCAACAGAGTGACACTCTGTCTCAGAAAATAATAATAAAATTATTTGATGGCAGGGCAAAGTGGTTCATGCCTAAAATCTCAGCACTTCAGGAGACCTAAGTGGGAGAATTGCTTGAGGCCAGGAGTTCAAGACCAGCTTGGGCAACATAGCAAGACCCCATCTCTACCAAAAAAAAAAAAAAAAAAAAAAACAGACATAGTGACACATAACTGTAGTCCTAGCTTGAGCCCAAGGAATTTGAGGCTGTGGTGAGCTATGATTGCACCACTGCATGCCAACCTGGGTGACAGAGTGAGACCATGTGTCTAAATAAATAAATATATAAATAAAATTCTATGTGACAAAATGGAAAGCATGCATAAAGCACTTCTGCTGTGTACTGAACTTTGATGATTATCTCGAGAAAAAGCATCTGTTGGGCGGTGAGCAGGCAAACCTGCCCCCAAAAGTCTGAGGAAGCTGAGAAGCCAAAAAAGAAGCTGATATCCAGATGATCACAGCAGATAAGAAGAGAAAAATGGCTGACATATCCAGTTTCTCAGAAAGTAACAGGGACAGGAAGCACAGTCTCAGGACATCACCCCCAGACCCAGGGCCTAAGGGAAGGAATACACAGGACAACTGAAGTCAGCCCCTCAGGGAAAGGCAAGCAGGCTATGTGACTGCCGAGGGTCAGAACCTATGGGCAAGGTTGTTTTGACCTATGGGCAGGATTTTCAGTAGCAACCACAAAAAAAGTAGATAAAATAAAAATCTTGGAGGCATTCTCAAAACTAGGATTAATCACAGGGCAGCCTGGGTGTAGTGGTTCATGCCTATTATCCCAGCACTTTGGGAGGCCAAAGCAGGCAGATCACTTGAGGTCAGGAGTTCGAGACCAGCCTGGCCAATGTGGCGAAACCTCATCTCTACTGAAATACAAAAATGAGCTGGGTATGGTGGTATGCGCCTATAATTCCAGCTACTGGGGAGGCTGAGGCAAGACAGTGGCTTGAACCTGGGAGGCAGAGGTTGCAATGAGCCAAGATGATGCCACTGCCCTCCATCCTGGGCACAGAGCGAGATTCCATCTCAAAAAAAAAGAAGTAACATGGCAGATTAGCATACAAGATGGAGTCGTGTTAGCTTCCACAGCTCCTGTGCAGTTGTTTGAATTGCAAAGTGAACCTGCCACTTTTTTCATGGAACACTATTTTTACTTTAAAGAATAAGGTATCTACCACTATGACCTTAACAGCTTCCCGGTACTTAAAGGCTTTTCTGATGGATAAGTTTTTGTTGTTTGTTTTTGAGACAGTCTCACTATCACCCAGGCTGGAGTGCAGTGGTGTGATCTCAGCTCACTGCAACCTCTGCCTCCCAAGTTCAAGGGATTTTTTACCTCAGCCTCTTGAGTAGCTGTAATTACAAGCATGTGCCACCAAGCCCAGCTAATTTTTATATTTTTAGTAGAGATGAGTTTTTACCATATTGACCAGGCTGGTCTCAAACTCCTTGCCTCAAATGATCCACCTGCCTTGGCCTCCCAAAGTAGGGTAATTACAAGCATGAGCCACCATGCCCAGCCAGAATGTGAGTTTTTAATATTGCACAATGAAATGTGCCAACATTCTACAAACTCAGTGAACCATAATTTCCAATGAGCAGTGCATGCTACAAACCATGCTAGGTAAAAGATCCAACTGTAAATAGATATATCTGTGGGTTTTAAAGTTCATTGATATGGTTTCAAATCCCACATTGCATTTAACCTTTAAGAAGCTACCACTTGTTGGCCGGGTGCAGTGGCTCACACCTGTAATCCCAGCACTTTGGGAAGCCAAGCCTGGTGGATTACGAGCTCAAGACATCAAAACGATCCTGGCCAACATGGTGAAATGCTGTCTCTACTAAAAATACAAAAATTAGCTGGGTGTGGTGGTGTACGTCTATAATCCCAACTACGTGGAAGGCTGAAGCAGGAGAATCGCTTGAACCCAGGAGGGGGAGGTTGCAGTGAGCCGAGATCGCACCACTGCACTCCAGCCTGGTGACAGAGCAAGACTCCATCTCAAAAAAAAAAAAGGAAACTACCACTTGTTAAGTATTAAAGTGGCATCAAAGAATAATATCTACAACAATCTGAAAAGAGTGTTAAAATACTCCTTTCTTTCCATTTACATATCTGTGTGAAGCTTAATTTTCTTTACATACTTCTACCAAAACAATATATCACAATAGACAGGATGCAGATGCAGACATGAGAATCCAATTATAAGCTACACATTTAAAGAAATATGTAAAGCTGTTAAGCAGTGCTACTCTTCTCAGCATTTTTACTTGTTTTTGAAATTTTAATTTATTTTATTTTTTATTTTTTTGAGACAGAGTTTCACTCTTGTTACCCAGGCTAGAGTGCAATGGCGCGATCTTGGCTCACCGCAACCTCCGCCTCCTGGGTTCAGGCAATTCTCCTGCCTCAGCCTCCTGAGTAGCTGGGATTACAGGCACGCGCCACCATGTCCAGCTAATTTTTTGTATTTTTAGTAGAGACGGGGTTTCACCATGTTGATCAGGATGGTCTCGATCTTTTGACCTCGTGATCCACCCGCCTCGGCCTCCCAAAGTGCTGGGATTACAGGCATGAGCCACCCCGCCCGGCCTGAAATTTTAATTTTTTATAAATATATTAATGTATTAATATTTTTAGTGAATTAATATATTTTTAATTTTTTGTTTTAATTTCTTTTTGAAAATATTTTCTTTTTAAATAATAGATATGAGGTTTCACTTTGTTGCCCAAGCTAGTCTCGAACTCCTGAGCTCAAGTGGACCTCTCATTTCAGCCTCCCAAAGTGCTAGCATTACAGGTGTGAGCCACTGCACCCAGCCTTCAGCTTATATTTTTAATAAGTTTAAAACAAAAGTTTGTTAGACTCTTCAGTAATTTTTAAGAGTATAAACGGGTCCTGAAACCAACAAGTTTGAGAACCACTTCCACATCATACCTGTTGTCGCTGGTAGGGACTGGTTCACTAGATGCCTAATGAATGTATCTCAGCAGCAATGTGAAAGAAAGGACTTGGAGTGATACTGGGTCAGGTGGAAAGTGTTAACCACCAAAGCTGTTCTTTCCCAGGTGTCTCTTATGTTTTGGATGTTTCCTAACTCTGCCTTCTCATCAAAAGACACCTGGCCTAGTGCTGTGGCTCACACCTGTAATCCCAGCACTTTGGGAGGCCGAGGCAGGAGGATCACTTGAGGTCAGGTGTTTGAGACCAGCCTGGTTAAAATGTTGAAATCTCCTCTACTGAAAATACAAAAACATTAGCCGGACAGGGTGGCATAGTCCCACCTACTCAGAGGCTGAGGCAAGAGAACTGCTTGAACCCAGGAGGCAGAGAATCAAGGCTGCAGTGAGCCATGATCGTACCACTGCATTCCAGCCCGGTAACAGAGCAAGACCCTGTCTCTAACAATAATAATAAAATAATAAAATACATATAAAGTACCAAATTTAATTTGACCAGTACTTATGGAGAACATTCTAGACATGCTGGGCATTGTGCTGGAGATAAGGATACAATGGTTAATCAGATCTGGACCCTTCCCCCTAAGATATAACAGTCTAGTAAGGGATCTGGCTGGATAGAAAAAAATCTCTAAGAATGAGATCAGGAAATAATAAGTAATATTTTTACATTTAAAGGAGATTTTTAATGCCTTTATATAAAAGAATGAGTCCAGCATGGATTTCTTTTTTCTTTTTTTGGTATCTCAACTCTCTGGCTTTGTGTCATAACCAGTGTGGATTTTTTCATTAGCAAAGGAGAAAGAGTGGGTCAAATGCCTCTCCTTGGAGTCCCTAAAACCACACCAGCTATGATGATTCACTAATGGCCATCTTCTCTTCTTTCAGGCCAACAAACTTCCAGCAGAACTAACCAAAAATGAACGTATATTGCGTCTCCTGAGAAGTAAAGAAGGTCCCAGAAAGAGCTAACTTAGTTCCATATTTGACAGAGAAAGTTTAACCACATTGTCCAAAAAGAAATTGCATTTCAGTGTTGGAAATTCTTTTATGAAAAAAAATATACACCCAGAATGCCCACCCTGTGGGTCCCTGACAAAGAAGAGCTATGCTCTGTGCACCAAGTTAAGAACCAAACAGCTCAGGGACCCTCTTTCCCCCTCACCATGGGCTTCTAACAGTGTCCTGTAACTCAGCTCCCAGGGGCCTGGCATGTTCACAAATTCCACAGAAACTCATTTTCAATGATGCTAACTTGGGCCTCTCAGTTAACTCTAAGATGGATCAGGTTCTCAGCGCTAAGCAAAAAGAGACCACTCTGTTCCTTTTAAAGACTGAAAAGCTGACCTTCAATGGATTGATTCACTTTTGCTTTTGTGTTAAATGTATGTGTGCTAAAATATACAGATCTATCCTATTTTACCTACATATGTATGTCATTCCAGTACAAAATGTTCTCTTCTACCCAGGGATCATAGCCATGATTGTTATAAATCAATGAGGTATAAACATACACTATTAAAAAACCACTTCTGACATTCCATTGTGTGCTATTCAAAGACAGACAATTGAGCTATAGAAAAGACAGATTGTGCATTTGTTCATTGTTCCTCATCTTATTCCTGACATGTAAAAATGATTTTTACTTAGAGTCAACATTGTAGGTAGGTTAGGATACCCAGTGGCAAATTTGGAAATTCAGAAAAGTATAAACTATAAGAAATCTATAGGCTTGTCTCTTTGGTCTTTGGTCTCTGTTGCTGGGAATCTGTTTCCCATGCCATAAGTAAGTATACCTAACACTCTGGAATCTTGAGTTTCCAACACCATGCTGCTTGATGTAGTGACTCTGAGGTCCTTGGATACAATGCGATATATATGCAAGTACAGTATGTTGCTATCACCATTGCAGGTGTATAAATAATAAAAGACTGTTATTAACACTTAGTAAGTCTTCATCTATGCATGTTCTTAAGTTGATTGATTCCAAGAACAAAATCTGAGTTTTACTGAATTATTCCTTTGAAGGGAATCAAAACTTATATTCAATGCACTTTATAATTAATGGTGTCTAAATGCCTCAATCAGTGCCTGACTGCACACACAAAAATTGAACCTTCTTTCTGTAATCTACCAAAATAAACACAATGGTATTTCTGCTATTTAAACACATGCTTCGTTTCTGTGTTCATGTTCTACTCTGGTTTTCAGTCACGTTCTATGTAAAGACATGTTAAGATAGAGGAAAAGGATGTCATCCCAAAAGAATTTTTGTTTGACCAACTTTCAGTGTCACTAAAAGGATTATCTTTAATTCAGAAATAATGGAATATTATCTTTGAAATTAGAAGATAGTCTCTTACAATTTGTTACAATTAATGAATGCAACAAAAATCAGCACATTTTGATAAATGCCACAAGCAAATAGCAACCCACAGCCCCCAGAAGTGCCTACAGCCTGATCAGCTATGCAATAAGCCTGCAACCTGATTCTAGGATAAAATATTAGAAAGCTCTCTGTTGCTAAAACACCCAGATATAAACATTTTGGTGGCTAAAAAAGCAGTGCCAATTTCCTAATTGGCATTCTTTTATTCAGCAAATTTGTACAAATATACATTTTCTCCTGTGGGAGTTTCAAAAAGCTCTATTCATTTTGAAGGGGAAAATAATATGGACTTGAATGCTTTACATTTTCCCCTTAGTTAATCCTTGTGGCAAAAACAGTAGCTAATCACTGATACAAAGCAAAACATTATGGATACTGATAACAAAGTTCCAAAAGACAAAATGAGATGAATCACAAACTTTGTTTTTCACTAAAATATGTCATTGGCCTATTATTGCAAGAGTTTTAAGTGGATAATGTTCTTGAACAATATTAGAGCCATAAAATTGAACCCAATAGCTTTAACAGTATGGAGGCCTTCTTATTGTAGGTAAGAGGGGTCTAGCTTAAAGGGATCACATTTGATCTAGATGAGATTATCCATAGCAGGGAAGATTATTAATCACCTACCAAAGACTGCAGTATGGAAAGGTCTGTTATTTTAAAAATTGTATTTTAGTTTGCACACATGTAAATGGTTATTTTGTGTTAATCTAATTGACAATTCAGTTAGCTCCGCATCCTATGTAAATTGTCTGCTTAATTGAACTACAAACATTTTTCATTAATTGATTTCTTTGATGACATATTCCATGTTATATAAATAATTCAAAATAAAGTTAATAGACTACCCCACTTGCCTTTGCTTCTTTGTTCTGTTTGTTTTTAATCACAAATTATTGCTATGTGATTTTTATAGCATGGAGTTTTAGGGTGAATAATTCAACTCTGTAAATATTTGGAACCCTAAATAGATATTTAAACTTTATTTTAGTAATGGACCTTTGATTTCATTATTTCTCCTGTAGAGAATATAATGATTCCAAAAAGTTTTCATTTAAAAAGAATTCTTGGGAGTTACTGAAGACACTGAAAATAGAAAACTTTCTAATTTGTATTATTTATGATGCTCCTGGCTCTTCAGTCCTTTGCACTAACTTTCTCTTGTGAAGTAGCTGGTGGTTTTGCAGAACTACTGGTGTAGGAGACAATAATTTGCAGCAGTTACGTCAGGAATGTGGAGCTTTACAGAGACATCCTGGCTTCCATCTGCTCCATCCAGCCTCTACCACCACAAGAAAGCTACATCTCTTCATAAATCCCACACTGAGACATGTGCGCAGAGGAAAAGAGCATCCCCAAATACCAGGGTACTTAGGACCAGACAGAGATGACTGTGTTTTGGTGGGGGCCTACAGACGCTGAGTTCCTAATTTCCTAACAAAAGTGCTTTTGGTGCTAGAACTGGATGTTTCAGGGATAGTGACTAGGTGAGGAGTCCCAGCGGCTCACGCCTGTAAACCCAGCACTTTGGGAGGCCAAGGTGGGGTGGATCACTTGAGTTCAGGAGATCATGACCAGTCTAGGCAACATAGTGAGACCCCCATATCTCTAAAAATAAAAAAAAATTAGCCAGACATGGTGGCTCACATCTGTAGTCCCAGCTACTTGGGAGGCTGAGATGGCAGGATGCTTGAGCCCAGGAGGTCAAGGCTGCAATGGCCCCTAACTGTACCACTACACTAGCCTGGGTGATAGAGTGAGACCCTGTCTCTAAGTAAATAAATAAAAATAAAAACAGCAACTAACATTTGTTAAGGGATTGTTATGTGCTAAGCACTTTGGATAATCTCATAGTGTTATGCATTTTTTCATTTGTCCTTGACAACAACCCTATGAAATAAACACTATTACCATCCTCATCTTACAGTGAGGGAATCAGCTTTGAAAGACAGTCTACCTTGTAGTGGTGTCTTGGTACTGTCCTCCAATCTTGGGAGTTTGATTTATGCTTTTTGGGGGAAGGTATAGGAGGCAGTGGTGACCAGATGGGAGTCACAACTGTAGCATCGGAGCAGAGCAGTGAAGGTGGGGAATATGGCACGTTTTTGAAAATACTTGCAGGTAGAATTAATGATAATTTGTGATTAATTGAATATAGGGATGAATAAAAGAAAGGAGAGCTAGGAATTATGCTAAGGTGTGTTAGGCGTTCCCAAGATCATCCCCAGGTTTAGTGACTTGCTAGGAAGATATTGGGCTCATATATGTAGTTGTTTACTCATATATATTCATATACATGTATATGCATGTACATGGTTAAGATTACAGCAAAAAGACACATCGCAAAATCAGCAAAGAGAAAAGGAAAATAGAGCAAAGATAGAGGACACCAGGTGCAAGCTTGTAAGAAACCTCTGCCACAGGCTGAACTTAGTTCCTCCAGCAACCAAGTTGTGGCAGCAAGTGTTGTCTACCAGGGAAACTCATTGAAGACTTAGTGCTCAGGGTCTTAATTGGGAGCTGGTCACATGGTACCTTCTGCCTACCATTTACCAAAAATCAAGACCTCCAGAAGGAAAACAGGCATTCAGTATAAACCACATTGTTTGCACAAACAGTTTAGGCAAAGTGAACCCTTCTTATCATTTAGGGAAAGTCTGATATCAGTGTAGAGAACTGTTTGCCAGCTGAGGGCCAACCTTGTAAGCAGCACTTCCTAAGGTTAGGCAATCTTGGGCTGGCTTTGTGAATTCTTCTTGGCCCACAAAATTTACAAGGTGGGTAGGCCAATAACTTTGTCAGGAAATGGGGAAGAATAGCAGATTTGGGGTTAGGAGAGAGAGAGTTTGGACATGTTCACTTTGAAGTATCTGTGAAATAGATTCTAGAAGGCAGCTGGAAATAACAATGTTTAGGAAAAGGCTGTTGTTACTGATTTGGGCATCATCTGTGTAGAGGTGGTCAAAGTCCATGGGATAAATGAGGTCCCCATGAAGAGTCTACTGAGAGAAAAAGATATGGCAAAATGGCTAGGCACAGTGGCTCCTCCCTGAAGGGAGGCCAAGGCAGGAGGACTGCTTGAGCCCCAGAATTCAAGAACAGTCTGGCAACATAGGAAGACCTCGCCTCTAAACCAAATAATTTTTTTTAAAAAGAGATGGCAAACAGAATAAACTTTGAAAGAAGGGAACTCAGCAAAGAGAATGAAACAACAAACGAGCAGGAAGTGAAACATAATGAGGAAGGAGAAATTCTCAAGGAGAGGAGAGCAGGCAGCAAGCCACGTGAAGATGTGCACCCATAAGACACAAAGGCTGGGAAACTCCAGCGTCCTTTTGCTCCACCACTCTGTCTTTGATGAGCTTGTCCAATCATCAGAGAATTCTAGCCTTGTGGCTGGGCACGGTGGCTCACATCTGTAATCCTAGTACTTTGGGAGGCTGAGGCGTGCAGATCACGAGGTCAGGAGTTCAAGACCAGCCTGACCAAGATGGTGAAACCCTGTCTCCACTAAAACTATAAAAATTAGCCATGCGTGGTGGCAGGTGTCTGAAATCCCAGCTACTTGGGAAGCTGAGGCAGAATTGCTTGAACCTGGGTGGCAGAGGTTGCAGTGAGCCCAGATCACGCCACTATGCTCTAGCCTGGGCAACAGAGTGAGACTCCTTCTCACAAAAAAAAAAAAAAGAACTCTGGCCTGGCCTTGTAATGGAGATTATGGTTAAGGATTGGTGAGTGCTCAGAACCTGGAGCTAACATTAAATACAATTATTCCCTTGAAATGATTCTACTCACTGGACAGAATTGCATTTGTGAAGATACTCCTGATGCTTTCTAGGAATCACTGGCAATTATCAGAATGCATTGCTTCTGCTCTTTTCCAGGAGGCAACATGAAAAAAACAGGCTTAGTACTACCCTATAGAGATGCAAGACAGGTATGGTGCAATGCAAACAGGCCTGGTCAGATGAGATAATTTATGCTTGTTTACCTATGCTGTTTGATTGGTTTTAATTGGAGAATTTGTTTTTTGTTGTTGTGCTGTGTTTTGTTTTGAGACAGGGTCCTGGTCTGTCACCCAAGCTGGAGTGCAATGGCATGATCTCAGCTCACTGCAACCTCTGCATCCTGGGCTCAAATGATGCTCTTGCCTCAGCCTACCAAGTAGCTGGGACTACAGGCATGCACCACCATACCTGGCTTATTTTTATATTTTTGTAGAGATGGGGTTTCGCCACGTTGCCCAGGCTGGAGTCAAAATTCTGAACTCAAGCAATCTGCTTGCCTTGACCTCTCAAAGTGCTGGGATTATGGGTTCGAGCCACCTCACCCAGCCGAACTGGTGAATTTTATCTCACTGTGAAAAGATGCTAACGTGCTTAGAACATGCCTGGCTATGAAGAAAGCCATACTATGTTATGACATTGCACGCCATTGAGCCATAGCAGCTCACACTCTACTACTTACTTGTACTTCAAAGCATGGAGAAAAACAAAAACAAAAAATGACAGGCAAAATTAGCATTAGACATTCTTGTCAAGGAATGTAAAAATAATTCTTCTTCTGCTTAACATAATGAATACATGGAGGTAAACCAGTCACAAGAGGTATTTTCTCTGAGCCCTCTGGCTATACTTAGCCCTCAGTTAAATAACCGATGTATTAGTGGGTCTGGAAAGTCTTCGATTCTTTTCCTGGTGGCCTTATCCTTATTTTTAGCAATACTTTAAGATAATTTTTAAATATGAGTGAAGCTGGGCATGGTGGCTCATGCTTCTAATCCCAGCACTTTGGGAGGCTGGGGTGGGAAAATCACTTGAACCTAAGAGTTTGAGACTAGCTTGGACAACAAAGTGAGACCCTGTCTCTACAAAAAATCCAAAAAATTAGCCTGGCATGGTGGCATGTGCCAGCAGTCCCAGCTACACAGGAGGCTAAGATGAAAGGATCACTTGAGCCTTGGGAAGTCAAGGCTACAGTGAGCTGTGATCTCACTGCTACACTACAGCCTGGGTAACGCAGCAATTCCCTCTCTCAAAATAATAATAATAATAATATGATTGAGGTTATGTTTCAACAATTAAAGGAATTTGGCTAGGTGCAGTGGCTCATACTTATAATCCCAGCACCTTGGGAGACCAAAGCGGGCAGATCACTTGAGGCCAGGAGGTCGAGACTACCTGACCAACATGGCAAAACTCTGTCCCTACTAGAAATTTAAAAATTAGCTGGGTGTGGTGGTGGGCGCCTGTAATCCCACCCTCAGGAGGCTGAGGCAGGAGAATCACTTGAACCCAGGAGGTAGAGGTTGCAGTGAGCTAATATTGCACCACTGAACTCCAGCCTGGGCAACAGAGTGAGATTCCAATCTCAAAAAATAAAAATTAAATTAAATTAAGGAAGTTAAAGATCTTCAGTTCTTAGGTGACATGTCAGCTTTATCTGTCAGCAGAAAGAAATCCTTCCCTCATTTTGGTTCTTTTTCCCTCCCTCTCTAGGACTTAATCCTCCAATCTTTAATGAGGCAAATGCTGTTGTTATTCTATATTTCAAGTTTTAAGAACAGTCTTAGAGAGAAAGTCTTCAGTTTACAGGAGTGGACTCTCTATTTTAGGGAAGACAAAGGAAACTATGTGCTGTGACCAAATCCTCCAGAGAAGGGAAGGCCAGTTTGAAAGCCTGACTGCTAAACTGCAAGTCATTCCCACTCTGGTAGCATCCTATCTGAGTGGAAGTGACACCACACCATGACTGGATTAATCACCAACTCAAACATCCTTACTACGGTGAATAATATTTTACCAGAAGTCTGAGCAACAATGCCCTATTTCCAAGTCAGTCATAAGCATTAG